TTCAGATCAGCCTTAATGCAATCTTCCCACCTTCGCTTCGGTCTACCCCTCCGACGCCTACCATTCGGCACAGCAAATATTAACCTTTTAGGAATTCTCTCGTTACTAAGCCCAACAACTTTACAAGCCCATTTGATTCGCCGCGATGAAATTACCTCAATTATATTACCCGGATATAGCTCACGCAATTCGGCGTTGTGTAACCGTCTGAACTCTCCGGTTAACTCATCCTTCTTCGGTCCGAATATTCTACGCAATACTTTATATTCAAAAACCTTAAGACGCTGCTCATCCCTTAATGTAAGCGGCCAAGTTTCGCATCCATAAAGAACTGTAGGCAAGATAATTGTTTTATAGATTCTAATTTTTAAGTTCCGGGACAAGAGGCGCGAACTGAGTAGTTTTGTCACAGAAAAATAACAAGCATTCCCCGCCTTCAGTCTAACTTTAATCTCTTCTTCAATTTCGTTTTTTCTAGTTATCGTAGAACCTAGATACCTAAATTTATCTACCTGTTCAAACATATTACCATCTATATCGATATCACCAGTAGTATCGCCATTTTTGCAGCTAACCATATATTTTGTTTTATCCACGTTTATTTCGAGTCCTAGTTCTTTACCGGCTTTCATTAACGTTGTCGTATTTAGTTCTATAGTTTCAACGTCTTCGCTTAACAGTACCAGATCATCAGCATAGCCCAGCACGGATGTTGTCCCGCCCAGATCCAACCCTTTCTCGGTACGTATTACCTCCCTAATGGCATGTTCTAATGCCAAATTGAACAGAACAGGCGAAAGAGAATCCCCCTGTTTTAAGCCCGAACGAACCTCAAATTTTTCGGACAAATTATTACCGATTCTAACTTTATTGAGTGTCTCCGTCAAGCACATCCTGACTAGATTTACTAATTTTTTAGGAATCCCCTGCTCGATTAGAATATTATACAGTTTCTGGCGGTCAATAGAATCGTAAGCCTTTTTAAAATCTATATACAGCTGGTGAACAATACCGTTATACTCCAACTTTTTCTCTAATATTTGCCGTAAAGAAAATATTTGATCAATAGTCGAACGATTCCGTCTAAATCCGCATTGGTAGTCTCCGATAATTTCCTCGGCGTATTCCGTGATTCGACTGGTTAAGATTACAGTGAATATTTTATAACATACCGGAAGGAGTGAAATTCCTCGATAGTTATTACAATCCGTCCTCGGACCCTTTTTGTGAATCGGAATAAGAATAGATTCTTTCCATTCTTCAGGTAATTTCTCGTTCACCCAGATCTTTTCAACCAAGCGATGTATTTTAGAAACTCCAGCTTCCCCGCATGCCTTAATTAGTTCAGTAGGAATATTATCGATTCCCGCTGCTTTATATGATTTTAATTTACCGATAGCTACTTCAACTTCCTCTTTACTTGGTCCTTCTATTAACGGTTCAGCACTCTGGTACTCAGAAGGAGGACACAGATCATAATTTCCCATATTTAAAATATTGTCAAAGTGGTCCTTAAACTTATTCAATATGTCAACCGGATCGGTCAGAATATTGTTATTATCATCCCTAATTCCAGACGTTACGGGCCCTACATATTTACGTGATCTGTTTATACCTTTGTACATGTCTCTTACGTTATTTTCGATTCTATTAGTTTCTATTTCAATTATTTTATTTTTGAGATACTCCCTTTTTTTATTTTTGAGCAATTTTGTCGTTTCGTTCTTTGAGATTCGGAAGTATTCCAGATTGTCTTCGCTAGGATTATTTAGAGCTTTTAATTTAGCGGCTTTCCTTTTTTCGCACATGTTTAAGCAATCTTCATCAAACCACGGTTTGTTATTCTTATTTTCCTTTTTTCCTAGACACGAGTTACCGACCGCTTTAATATTATCCCTGATCTCTACCCATAACTTGTCAATATCCTCGTGGTCCTCGTCAGGAAGCTCTAAAGCTTCAAACCTATTCTTAACATCTAGCTCGAATTGGTTTCTAATTGATGGATTTTTTAATTTTTCCAAATTAAAATTCTCAAAATCGAAACGGTTTTCTTTTCTCTTTTTTATATTAAGTTTTTGTCGAAGTTTCGCGATTACTAATTCATGATCCGACCCACATTCTGCTCCGCGATAAGACCGTACATTGATTATACTGCTTTGCCAGCTGTGTTGTATCAAGACATGATCGATTTGATTTCGTGTTTGCGAATCCGGCGATGTCCAAGTATATTTATGAATATCCTTACGTTTGAACGTCGTACTTTTAATTACCAGGTTTTTCGAGATGGCAAAGTTTATCAGACGGATCCCGTTATCATTACTATATTCGTGCAAACTTTCTTTACCAATCGTCTGAATATAAACTTCTTCCCTTCCTACCTTTGCGTTCGCGTCACCTACAATTATTTTCATGTAGTTTCGCGGTAGTTTATCATAAACCCATTCGAGTTTATCGTAAAATTCACTTTTGACTTCATCGTCACTGTCTTCGGTCGGACAATGTATGTTTATTAATGCGATTTTAAACCAACGTCCCTGAAATGTAGCTACCGAAATTCTATCACTAAAGAATTGTACGTCCCTCAAAGCGGATAGTAATCTACTCCTAATTAGAAACCCGGTACCTAAACAATGATTCCCGCTTCCTCCGTACCAAATAGTGTACTTTCCTTCCCTCATCGAGCCCTCCCCTGGCCAGCGAACCTCTTGCAGAGCCACGACATCCAAATTGTACCCATTTACCTCATTCGCGACCGATTTTAGCCCCCCTGCTGTGTTTAAACTCCTTACGTTCCACGTACCAATATTTAAATCCCTATATTTCAACTTGCGGCATGAATCCCCTAAAGCAGTCCCCACCCGGAGACCCGAACGGGGGACTAGTTTACCTCCGGATAATGAGCGTTTTACCTTAGGGAGATCCATGACTTTTTGTGGTGTTTGGTGAACTAAAGATATGTGAGTAGGGCGTTCAATCCTACGTCACACCCTCCAGCAAGTCTGGTGGGCCCCTACCTCCAGCAAGTCTGGAGGTCCCCTCCCTCCAGCAAGTCTGGAGGGCCCCTCTCATTGTTGGTCAGCGAGTCCATCGGACTTAGCCGGGAGGAACTTCCAAGGAATTTCCACCGACCATCCCCACATCCGCCACCCGTGGGACGCTCCCCATACGCGGTAATGAGCCCGCGCGAGGTGGCCATAGGTCTGACAATTATGGCACTGCACGATGTCTCTCTTGGGATATGGCTTCTCAATTTTCACCATTGTGTAGTATATTCTTGTGATATCATATATTTTTTTCGATACCTGGTGATGGCTCCAAGTCCACGAAAAACAATGGTAGTGGGATCCTATTTCGTAAACCTGGCTGCTCCCTGTCCTCCTTCAAAACGTTTGTTACCTGGCGTACATTGAAACCAAGCGTCGTTAGTTCTTCTTTAATAACTTCAGTGGGGGTTGAGGAATGTAAATTTCTTATCACTACTCGTAAAGCTCTTTCCTGCCTCAGCTGGTAAGTGTGAAAATTCGCATTTGTTTCTGATAAGTACTTCACTATTTTTCGGTAGGCTTCTGCAGAATCAGGTGTTATTTTGGTGTCATTGGTCCTGTTAAGGCATGAATAACTGCCAGAGCAGATTTTATTTAGTTGGGTGCAGAACATCTGGAAATTTTTTATATTTTTCACAAATATCGGAGGAGGCTTTGGTTCTCTGGGTATTGCTGCAGACTCCATGACTTCTCTGTCATTTTGAAGCACTTGGTAGGATTTTGGAGTAAAGAAAGGTCATTCTTCAATCGTTTCTTGTGCAGACGTACCTGGTTGGGGCTGAGGTTCTGGTTCTGAAGTGTTAATTTTGGTCACTGGAGGTATTTCTCGTAGGCAGCGACGAGTCCTTTGTTTGGCTGGTGAGCTAACTCCGTCTGACCGAGACCTCTTGGGCACCTTACTGGCCATCACTTGCTGATCATACCGCATATCATAAGAGAAAAATAAATAAATAAATAAAAAAAAAAAAAAAATTTTTTTTTTTTTCTTAAAATAACAAAAAAAAAAAGATGCCAACAGTAAATATCAACTGCTCTGATATACACTTTAACTGTATCACGTGAATAATCAGAGAGATTCCGCTATAAAATTGGTAAAAACTGAGAGAGGAGTTGAGGAGACAACCTTCTCATCAGCTGATCCACTGCCTTAATTTTTATTATTTAAATAATATTATTTTATGCTAATAAAAATAATGCAATCTGAAATATTACATTTAAATTTTTTTTATGTATTTTTTTTTATTTATTTAGACATATAACATTCTGTCACAGGGACAATAATTATATTGATAAATGAACACATTCACACCGTATATATATAAAAAAAAATAATAAAATTAACAAAAGTAAAATAATAACTAAATAATAATAAATAAAACTATATACAATAAAAAAAAAATAACCTAAATACAAGTAAATTATTGTATATATAAAAAGTATATATAAAAAAAATAATAATAAAATTAACGAAAGTAAAATAATAACTAAATAATAATAAATAAAAGTATATACAATAAAAAAAAAAAACCTAAATACAACTAAATTAAAAACATAAAAACAGTCACACCTATACATGTAAATTTATAAAATTTGATATTATAAAATTATTATAAAATTTGAACAACGAGTAGTACAATTAAATGAACAGTTGTATAATTTGTAAAATGGAGGGGTAACGTCCTAGTATTTATTTAATCCTAAATAATATAGATAATAAATAATATTAGTAAAATAAATAATATATTTATAATCTCTTGACGTCTCAGGTTTCAGACCTCTTATGCAATTTTTTTTGGGGGTGGGGAAGCATCTTTAATAATCTTCAAAATGTTACCATTTTTACATAAAATATAGGTAATTGTAATTTGCATACATATTTTGTTTTGAAAGAAAATAAATTCATTAAAATATCAAAAAAATAAATAAAAAAAATATCATATTGCCATTATTCACTGACTAATATATTGTTTGTGCTATGCAATTTTACTCAATATATAGTTCTGTCGATTAACCATACTATCTCAGTAACCGAGTTAGTCCTCGATTATTCCGGATAAGCTAAGCATTACTGTTTGGAAGTTAAGGATGCGTAGTGGATATAGACAATGGAGATAGGCCACTTGGCATAGATTGGTGAATGCACTTGGAGCTAATAGAATAAGCCAGCAGGGGTCGCTTCTTCCAACCAATTATAGAGAGTGCATTCCTGATGCCAGTTGGGATCTGTCGTCAGTAAACAACTGGGCATATGAGCCATAGCAAAGGAGCTGTGTAAAATTAAATTATACTACCATAATTAAGCTATGAAAATTATCAATATGAATTAGTTTTGAATATTGAAAAAAATTTCTATTTATTCAATACAACTAGTAAAAGTGCACACATTAGAAATCATGACATGAACAGACTTGAAGAGAAGCTGCCCAGTGGTAGCACTCCCTATTAAATTTTAGGTGAGAAGATCAAGAGGCCATCTTCTTTTCAGACGCCTAGGGGGATTATCAGGAATCGAGGAAGAAGCAAAGCTGGAAACAAGTTGATTCGGATGGAACTGGAGTTTATCATGAAAGGATAGGTATCTGGCTCGGGCTAAATCAGCGACATATGGGACATTATGAATGGTTTTATTTGTGACAAAATATGGGGCATTAAGGATTTTATGAAGGATTTTGGATTGTAAGGATTGGATACGATAGGAATTCGATGGTCTGGTGGAACACCAAAGATCAACTCCGTGTGCCTATATAGGTCTTATTATGGTTATGTACATTAGTCTTTTGTAATTAATTGAATTTAGGGCGTTTGTCTAGTAAGTGTTGGATCAGTCGAAAACTTCGAGCAGTTTCTTGTCGTTTCAGTCTAGTATGCGGATTCTAAGTGAGACGTTTATCAATGTGGAGTCCTAGGTAGCGGATTTGTTCAACAGGAAGGATATTGTAGGACAAGAAGTTGTGGGTTTACGACGAAGGGTGAAGGTAATTTGATGGGATTTATTGAAATTTATTTTTATTCTCCAATTTTTAAACCGGTTTGTGAAATGGTATTTGGAGGATTTGGGATGCAATTAAAGGGTCATTATTAACAGATATGATGCAAGTGTCATCTGCATGCGTGGTGATGACCGTGTTGGGATGGGTTGAGATATCAGCTGAATAAATTTTATAAAGGATAGGACAGAGGATGCTCCCTCCAGGAAAACCGAATATTGAAAATAAATACAGAATTCAGTCAATAAGGCAAGGATGTTAAGATCTATGAGACATATATGAGCGATCAGGAAGCATCTAACCAATAATGAATGTCTCGATATTAGACAAAAATCTACGTAAAAAGCCAAATGCAGATGGATATATAGAATCAACAATGATGCAACAGAGCTGCGTGCATAAATGGAATGCGTGTGTAAATGGAAAGAAATTGTCCAAGATGGGCAGAGGTGGAGCAGGCTTGTTAAGGCGGCAAAATATTTTTTTTTTTTTTTTTTTTGTCTTGGAAAAATGTTTATAGTGCTATGTATATTATTTAATATGGTTTTATTGTTGATAACTTGTAAGTGTATTGTTATGAGGGAGAAGAGGAAAAAGAGAGAAAGAAAGGAAAGATATGACATATATATGTATAAAAAATAGAAAAATGAAATATAAAATTAATGTCCTTGTGGATTGATAGGTATGCTGTGTACGAAGCAACCCTATGTAGTAGGGCAGCATTACTTTTAATAAAGTATTTCTCTCTCTCTCTAAAGAACATGATATCTTGAACAAATAATTCAAAATATTTACAAAATATGTTTTCATGTGAGTCGTTTTCCGCACTTCATAATAAAGTTTGCATTTTAAACAATCACTCTCGTTATGACAAATACAGGCCATATGATATTAGATACATAATTTTACTTCATTTATGAATCAATTATTAATATATACATATACATACATATCATGCAATACAAAATAAATAAAAACAACAAAAACATCTGATAAAACAAACATTAACCGAATCAATACCATTATGACAAAAACACTGTTAACCATTCAATTGGTATAGAATTTCGGGAATAGAGTACATATTGGCAACGAATAATAAAAATAAATATATATGCTTATCTTTCTCGACACTGTCTATATTAAGGATGTTCTCTATATTAATATAAGGAGGTGAATAGGATATTGGTGCAGGTATTTCTCTCTATGTACTTTGGATAATGGACACTGGAGAAGAAGATGGTATATTCTGTTAAATATATATTGTTTACAGGCACTGCAGATTTTTTCATCTTGTATAATGTTAGATTTATTTTGCGAATATATATTTATTTTATATTTATATATTATTTATTTATCGTACTGTAGGATCAACGGCTTCAAACCCGGCAAAATCAAAAGCAGTTGTATTCTACAAGTATTCCAAAACTTAGACCCTGAAACCTTCCTATTGGCAGAATTCTCAACTAGAATACACTAACAGCTATACTTATCTAGGGGTGCCATTCTCAGGAACAGAAAAAATATATAAATATGAATAACACATTTATTAATTTGTTACTTTATATTTCGACAAACTTTTCTTCAATTATTTATTACAATCAACCTCCTACTTACTAATAACGTAACTCATCTTGTTAAAGCCAAGTAAATTATCTCCAAGTAAATCTAATGAGGTATTCGATTGGTGGGCGGATTTAGATGGGCTGACCTGATTGGACCGCCTTGGGCCAGGTTGCGCAAATATTGAGAGAAGACACCCGCCAGGAGCTGACAAAGAGTCAATCAGTAGTGACGGTGTGGTCAGGCCAGCGGTTTGGTAACTCAAGTTACACCAATTGGCTTGCACAAGGCTCTCTGACCCGCTCATAGTGGACCTGCATACTGATCAGTCCTAAGGCCTAGTTTTACTACGTTTCGCCTCATTTACTGTATTTGTTATCTTCAACAGCTTTATCCCTTTTTATAATCACTATATCTTTACCGAAGTACAAATATCCTTTTATCGTAAAACACCCATCTTTAATTATGCTATAGGTTGCAGAGGTCGATCTACGGGGGGAGAGGGAGGCTTTCGGGCTGAAGTCCCCCAAAAATAGAAAAATTATTTTTATTTCATTGTACCATATTTTTCCAGTGAGCCATAGGCGCAGATTTTGGGGGAGAAAGTTAGAGGGTAATCTAAACTCCAATAAAATTTTTAGAGGAATAAGAATACCGTTTCGCTCCCCTCTTATCCAATAATTTGAAATAAATTAAAATGAATAATAAAAAGCTGACATGAATGAATAATATAAGAAAAGTCGACCAGATGGCTAAGCTAACGCTATAAATCCTTCAAATTTTCAAATCAGAGATGCTTTGATCTTTTATCCTTTGAGTCATGAGAACCGAACACATTTAATAAACTCAATCAGTAATATAAAAGTTGAAGTAATATTATTATTATTGAAGAGAAGAATAGTTGGGGTGCTCAGTCAAAAAGGAAGGCAAAAAATAAATTATAATATTTATTTTTTACATATGCCGACGTTTCGACCTGAAGTTCAGGCCTTCACCAGGGCTAAGAAAATAACCAGATAACAAGGTATGAGAAACATAAGTAATGATGGTAAAAAAGATAATAAAAAATGAGAAAATAAAATTTAAAAAAAATATTATTAGAAAAATAAAATAGATAGATATAAAGTAAAATGAAATTGTTAGAATAATGACTAAGAACTAAGAGATAAATAATAAAAACTGTTACATAGTGTGGAATGATGAAGTAGGCATAATCAAAAAGGGGTGACAAAAGTGTTACATTGGAAATCTTAGAATAAAATGTAAAAACATAAAAAAGAAATATAAAGTTATATAAGAAATGAAAATAAATAGTAAAATTAAAACATTGAGAATGGAGTAGTTAAGAGGAAGAGTAGTTAGTTAATTCTTACAATTTCATTTTACTTTATATCTATCTATTTTATTTTTCTAATAATTTTTTTTAAATTTTATTTTCTCATTTTTTATTATCTTTTTTACCATCATTACTTATGTTTCTCATACCTTTTTATCTGGTTATTTTCTTAGCCCTGATGAAGGCCTGAACTTCAGGTCGAAACGTCGGCATATGTAAAAAATAAATATTATAATTTATTTTTTGCCTTCTTTTTTGACTGAGCACCCCAACTATTCTTCTCTTCATTATCCACGACAGTCAACCAATTACCAATTATTATTATTATTTGTTACGGATTAAGTCCATTCCGTAACTAGTTGAGTAGTTCCGTAAATCAATCAGTGAGTGCAAAAACGAGTCACAAATTTCAAATTTTTCAGTACAGAGAAATAACGTCGTAATTCCTCCAAATTTTCAAATATTTGAATTTTTTCCCCTCTGTCATAACATGCATTTATGTTGCTATCATACAAAAATTACCTAATTTCGACATAAATCAAGCTCAGGAAAATTTTAAATTTGATTCGGACTTTTGCTGTTTCTGCAGTCAACTGTTTTTTACAGCTGAAAACTTGGAGAAAGGTAACCAACCATTCATTAAAAGTTTGTCACAGTTAGCTGTGATTGCCATATTTATATTTTTAAAATAATACGAATACCATTTATGTTTATTGTACTTATACTTATATTCATAAAAAGATACGAATACAGAATATAACGTATTCAAGGCTGTAAATTTAAATAAGGCCGTATTCACGATTGTAAAAGTGAATACGGCTGTATTTTCATCAATAAAAGTGAATACGGCAGTATTGACGTTTATCTAAATGATTACGCTTAAATTTACAGAAGTGAATAGAAATATTTCCACAAAACCTTCTTAATGAATATTCCAATTAATTTAAAAAATATATTTATTAAACAAATATATTTACTATATGTATAATTTTATTTTTGCAAATAATATTATATTCTTCGTTTTACAATACGTTATGTTAATTAGATTACAATGTATTATGTTATGTTAATTAGCATTCGTAATGTTTGTAATATGAAATCCCGAACCTTTATATATACACTTATAATCAAATTAAATCGTAAAATAAATTAAAATTAATCTAATTTTTTTTAAAACAAATTGTTAATTAAAAAATATAAAAATTTAATGAATGGTTAAATTTTTTCAATGTTTTCAGCTGTCTATAAAAAACAGTTCAGTGTAGAAACAGCATAAGTCCAAATCGAATTTTTAATTTTCCCGAGCTTAATTTATGTCGAAATTAGGTAATTTTGTAATGAAAGCAACATAAATAAATGTTATGACAAAGGAAAACAAAGTTCAAATATTTGAAAATTTGGAAGAGTTACAATGTTTTTCTCTCTCCTGAAAAATTTGAAATTTTTGACAGATTTCTGCACTCACCAATTCATTTACGGAACTCCTCAACACACTAACGTGGTTCTTGCACTCAACACGCATCTTCAATACTTGCCTTTCTAAGCTTCTTTTCATCGAAAACAATTTTTCGCATTTTTTTGACTGAAGATGTTTCTGCAATCACCGATGCAATTAATCTTATTATGTTAATCCCCCTCTCTTTCGCGCCTCTACCCTCAAGGGTCATTGGCGTTTTACTCTGATTTATATTCTTTTGTAATACTCTATTGACTTCAAAAGTTCAAACAAACTATTGACTGTTTCTTCAGTATCTTGAAGGAAATGTCCTGCCTATGCCTGTTTTTTTTTCTGTAACTTTCAAATTGAGGACATTCTTTCAGTAAGTGTTTCACTGTTTGTGAAACGTTATTACATTTTTCACACGTGGGCGCTTTATACAAAATTATGACACACACTATTGTTTCTTATTTTCATAAATAAATTTCTGCATTCATCCGGAATTATGCGGAGTTGAAGTGGCTCTATCCAGTTTTCCGACGGCAATGTTTCCTAAATGTATTTATTTTCTGAACCTTTACAACAAAAAAGTCATCTTACGTTCTTGATTTGTTTACTCCTTGCTCCTCATTCCATTTAATCAGTTTAACAGGAGATCCCAGGCCACAAAAAAATTTATTCCTTCTCATAGAACTTCTTTCTTTTAAAAATCCTTTGTATTGCGTACTACATTTGTTTGGACTCCTTACGTAAATTCTTCATACGTAGATCCTTTTTCTTAATCTCATTTAAACACCATTTATTCTTCCACTTCCTCCGCAATCAATCTACCGAACGTATGTAAGAATACAATTTGCGTATTTAAGAGCTGTCATCCACATTCTATTGTCATCTTACTGATATGCATGTATATATATTATCCACATTGCCTATTCGTAAAAATATGTAAGCATACTCATGTATATTTATCTACAATTTAATATGTTTACTTTTCCGCTGATATTTTAATTTTAGTGTTAGATAATTATGTTACTTAATTATTTCTTGACTGTCTTTTCTGTTTATTATAATTATTATTAAGGAAGGAGATGGTCCGGGGTTGCGGTCATAAATAGGTTAAATAGTGGTAAAACTATTTTATTGAAAGCCAACGTTTCGACCCGACTTTGCAGGTCTTCATCAGTGCTAGAACGTACAAGATACAAAAAGATAGAGAATGGTGGCAATTACATAACATTTAGACAAAATTTATAAACACTGTGAATAAGCTTATTAAAATTATAAATAGTTAGTACAATAAAATATGGACTAAGTAAGCTGAGTAACAAGATCCTAAACTAAAGTAAATAGATTCTAACAATTGTTATAGTGCAACATATAATAAATGAAAATGTGAGTATAATTCTACAAAATCTACAGGAGAAAAATAAAATAAGAGACTTACAGGTGTGTTCATCTAGGAGTTTAACTTAGAACTTAAAAGGCAGCGGTAAAGATTGCAGGTATAGGGGAAGTTAGCATAACTAAGTAAACATTGAAAAACCCAGGAAATTACAGTTTCTAGGAATTTTTGAAGATATGGATGGATACAATGGAAAAATAACATATATATGAATTATTAAATTATAAATATACATATAAAATAGAGTTGAGAGATGTGAGAGGTATTTCATGATTCTAGATCAGAGTACAATGTGAATAAACCCAAAATTGGCAAAAGTAAAATATAAATATAGAAATAACTTCATTAACATACATACATTGCAGAGCTAACTTAAAAGTATAGAGAGAGAAAAAAAAATATTTATAATTATATTTGGTTGTACATATGTTAGAAAATTACATTTGAATATTAGATAATGAGACATGGTTAAGAAGTAAAATTAATACAAAGTGGGAAAAAAAGATGATCATACATTGGTGTAGAGTATAAATGTAAATTTAGAATAAAATAGAAGAGAGATCATACAAAGAAGGAATATTTAAAATAATGAACAATTAAATGAATAAATTAATAAAAATTGAGAGTAGATGAAAATAATAGAATAGAATATTTAAGTTATTTTTCACTTATAAGACGTAAAATGTGTCTATATGTAAGAGACTCAACTATTAAATATTCAATATAATTATTATTGTGTGTCCTCTCAGAAGGTAGCCATGTGTAAACTGGCAGTGTCCTATCCTTATTCCGCAAAGCATAACTTCTTCTCTCCTTGATTATGTTAATTATCACTTATAATTTGTATACATAATATAAACTCCTGAGACTTTTTTTAAGATCACATCGCCCCTTAATTAGAATGGATAGTAATATAACCATGTTCAAACATGGCTAGGTAAAGTTTTGTACTGTTTGAAATATTGATCTAAATTTTTTTTTGTTATTTTTAATTAGCTGAATGTCCATTGCCAACTGCCACAGACTGATATCTGTCATCGCTTCTCTTTTTCAATACAGCGGGAATTCATTAAGTCGAAATTAAATTTCCAGGAAGACAGGATAGGGAAAGCGGCAGACCTTGCTCGATAT